CTGATATTAAAATAGTAAACATTTAAAAAAATATATAATAATATTTCACAATTTTTACTGTATTTTTAATCAAATAAATGCAGCCTTGGTGAGCAGAAGAGACTTAAAACATTTTTTTTTTTTTTTTAAATCATACGTATTCCAAACTTTTGACCGATAGAGTACATGGTATAAAAATGTTTATATATAAATGCTATGTAAAATATTTCTATTCTATATTTCCACCAGTCACTGCAGTTATTGTTGCTACTGTAAAGACATATGATAATATGGATCTCCAGTGTGGCTAATACACAATTAGTTTTATCACTTTGCCAGAAAATAAGATAAATTAATATAAAGAGTTAACCAGATTAACAGGTTACTTCTCTACAATCTACCCAGGAGTACTGAACACAATCGGTTTGTCCAGTGACGTTATTTACTGTACAAAAACTCCAACACTGTATTTTTTGTTACTGTAAATTTTTGTTACTACTCTTGAGTTTGTGTAAATGTGCTGTAGGTGTTCTTTACTCCACTAACTAGTGCTAACGTCCAGACCTGACCTAGATAAATGTTTTCTCTAAGTGTTTATTAAAAGAAAGGAAGATGATTGATCTGTGAATAGATTTAATAAATGTTAATGTGAATGAAAACACAGAAGCAGTCGATGAAAGGCTCTTCAGTGGCGTGTCCGTATGTTTTCACTCAGAATCTGCCGATACCGATAGTTTGGGTCAATTTCTTAACAAAAAATAAATAAATCTCCCGACCAATGAGGTTAAAGTGAACAGCAACACTATTATATTCAATCCTGTTCGTTTTCAGGTATAATAATCGCACTCAAAACGTTTGTAACTCAATTGCACAAAAGGTAGTTCTCATAAACAGATTTATTCAAACATTCAACGGTAATTAAGCTCCTTCTAGTGTTTTATAGCTAACTAATGAAACGTGAACAGTGAATAACTTACCTGAGGTAAATGCAACATTGTGACATTGTTCACAAACTTTTATTTGACATCTTTCTTTCGGGTTGAAACTCTGATTGAGCAATTATACGAGACATAATTCGGTAAGTTATACTGTATTTTTCAACATACCTTTTGATGTTCATTCATGTTTATTTTGTGCAGTAACTTGTAATAAAGCAGAAGATCGCACTCTGATCTGTCACGCCACATTTAAGAGCGTCAAAACGACATTTAACGTTTGGATTTTGTGATAAAATGCACAGGATTTAAAAGCTGAGACTTTCTTATTAGAAGTAACAAAGCACAAATCTCTTTGTGAGCATTGGAGGCATGTTACAAATAATGTTTTGTGAAGGGAAAAATCTGGCGCTGCTTTAATCTGTACAGGCCTAAATTCAACACAAGAAACGTTTTCATAACGCAAGTTGCTGTCTGACACACTTTTCCGCCGCAGAGTTCTGACTGGAAATAATCGACCTGAAAATCATCGGCCGTTTTTAAAAACACGGCCGATCTGCGATGCCGATATATCGGTGCATCCCTGGTTTTCACGTGTGCGTGCGCGTCTTGCAGTGGGTTTTCTGGTGCGTGCGCAGGTTGCTCTGCTGTGAGAAGTTTTTTCCGCAGGTTGTGCAGCGGTAGGGTTTCTCTCCGGTGTGAATGCGCTGGTGCATCTGCAGGTGACTGAAGCGATCGAAACTCTTCCCGCAGAACGAACAGATGAACCACTTCTCATGCACCGTTTCACTCCGGTGCGCCGCCGCCGCTGCTGCTTCTCTCGCGGCGAACGCGTGTCTGTCTGCGCAGCTGCGGTTCAGATTCTCATCTGGAAGCGTTCGGATGAAATCTGGTTCAGTTCTTCTGTCGGTGCATGAGTTCTGGTTTACGGACTCAAAGTTGAGGTTGTTTAAGGTTTGTCTAGCTGTGACGGACGAGCCGCTTTCTGCAGATGCGAATGCGCATGCGTCTGCAGGCATCCGCGGATCTATGATTTCAGACGGAAAGCTCTGCTTCATCTCCACCTCCAGCAGTCCACCGAAGTCTTCCTCGCTGTGAGGAGCGTCAAGGTCTCCGGCGAGCTGCGCGTCCTCTCTGTCTACGCAGATGATCTGTGTGTGTGTTTCTCCACAGGAATGATGCTCTGGATCGGTGTTTGTCTGGTTGGAGTCTAGATTCCTATCGTGATGAAGATGAGAAGCAGGTTTCTGAACGAGACGCCCTGCAGATAAACCAGAAATCACACTATATCATCACAAATGTAACTACAAAGAACCTCTGAATTTACTTTTTCAACAGTATTCTTGGAAGTAGCTTGGATTATTTTTTATTCTTTTAAATTTACATTTTTGATTCATATTTACTATATCTTCTATATTATATAATTATAAACGTATAATGTACAAATATGTAATAACAATGTAATAATAATGCAGTATATTTCAGCATTTTTCAGCAACATTTCAGCATTTCAAATATGAAAATGAATTATATATATAAATTTTATAACATTTATTTTCGTATTTGAAATGCTGAAAGTCAAATACATTGCATTATTATATGGCATTAATTCAAAAATAAAAATGGAAAAAAGTTTGAGTCTAAGGTGGACTAATTTCCTTAACTCTCTCCCTCTCTTTGTCACACACACACACACACACTCACACACACACACACACACACACTCTCTCACACACACACACACACACA